TTCCCATTTTAAAGGAGCTATTTCCTGATTCCTAGTATACTGGACATTAGGAGAGGATTTAGTAAATCTCATTTATTTTCTTCTTACTTGTTTTTCAGACATAATGAGGAACAGTTTGGGTAAAGTAGCTTTTGACTGAAGTTACTCTTATTTGAAGAAGTGAGATTGATTGATTGATTGATTGATTTTGGTACTGGGGATCGAACTCCGGTCCTTGAGCTTGCGAGGCAGGTGGCAAAACCACTGAGCTAAATCCCCAGCCCAGTGAACCTTATTTTTGAAAAAATAGGCAGCCAGCCAACATGATCTCTCTTCTAATTATATCTGTGTTGGAATTTGTGTAATGATCCCAAATCTCCTTGACCTCCCAGAAACAATGTCTAAAAAACTTTTGTTTCCTGACTACAAAAACATTATAGGCCTGGGGATTTAGCTCAGTGGTTCCACCACCTGCCTCGCAAGGGCAAGGTCCCAAGTTTGATCCCTGGTACTAAAAAAAAAAAACAACTAAGCTAGAGCAAAATATAATGCTTAGGGCTGATTATTTCAGTGTTTGTTTTTAGAAAAATACAAACATATATGACTTTAAAAGCTCAAAATTTACAGAGGCCAGGCAGGTAACTTAAATGAGAAAGTAGATGCGAGAAACACTTCAGGTGAAATACATAGTTCTCATTTGCTTGTTTTCCACTTTTTTTTGGGGGGGGGGAGTACTTGGGATTGAACCTGAGGCCTTTGCATTGAGCTACATCCCCAGCTCTTTTCTGTTTTTCTCATTTTGAGACCGGATCTCACTAAGTTTCCCAGGCTGTGCTCAAATGTATGATCGTTCTGCCTCAGTTGCCTGGAGTACTGGAATCATGAGCATGCACCACCACGCCTGGCTTCTTTTCCATTTATGATAGAGTTGTAGGTATAAGTAGTTTTTACTAGCTGGGCATGGTAGTGCATGCTGGTAATTCCAGCACTCTGGGAGGCTAAGGCAGGAGGATCACAAGTTCAAATGCAGCCTGGACAACTTAGTGAGACCTCATCTCAGAATAAAAGAAAGAAATGAAAAAGGGCTGGGCACATAGCTCAGTGTTCAATGCCCAATATTGGAGAAAAAAAAAAAGAAACACTGAAAAGAAACAAACATTGTGAATGAACTACATAGCCAAACATGTTTTAGGCAAAGGGCCACCAGTTGTGACTTCTAGTTTAAGGCAGGGAAGACTTAAGAAAGACTTCTGCCTTTATCAACCGTAGTAATTTTTTTAAAGGTATTCCAAAGTAGTCTTTCATTTAACATGTGCTTCCTTTTTCATGTGTTCTTGGCACCCTAATCAGTTTTACTTTATATCTTTCTTCATACTGTGCACTTTGAAAGGAGAGAAAGAAGGCTAGCTTACTACTAGGGCTGATCCTCTGTTCTGTAGGCTAAGAAATTTGACTCTTTGTTTTTCGTTTTTTTGGTACCAGAGATCGAACTCAGGAACTTGTGCTTGTGAGGCAGGTGGTGGAACCACTGAGCTAAATCTCCGGCCCCACCACTCTACATTTCTGCTATGTGTACTTGATATTGCTGGATCTGGTATAAGACATGTTTTCCTCTGAGCAATGCTAGGAATATACTAATTTTTTCTGGTGGACATACTTTTTTTTTTTTGGTACTGGGGATCAAACTCGGGTCCTTGTGCTTGTGCAGCAGGCGGTGAAACCGCTGAGCTAAATCCCTGGCCCCGGATGTACTTTTTATAGGTACTATGTAGATCAGCCTTCTCATGTTAACATGTGTCATTTTGTTTGAAGAACAAAATAAAGAATAATATCATGTATTAATTATAAGCTAGCTGGTGCATGCACCCAGGTGGCTGAGGCAGGAGGATCACCTCAAGTTTGAGGCTTGCCTGGGTTACATACTTGAGTTTAAGGCCAGCCTGAACTACATAGCAAGAGCCTGTCTCAAAAAAAGAACCAAAAAAATCCTATAAGCTTTCTTAGTTAAAAATCGCAATTCCATGCCTATCACTTTGAATTCCTTAAATTTCCTTGATAAGATTCTTCTTTTTCTGGTACCAGGAACCAAACTCAGGACCTTATGCTTGCCCGGCAGGTACTGTACTACTGAGCTACATCCCTGGCCCTTGATAAAATTTTGAATACTTTTTTTAACTTTAAAAAATTTATAACTGACAATTTATAATCGTATAAACTTATGGGGTTCAAAGTGATGTTATGATCTGTGAATGGAATGTGGAATACGTAAATCAAGCTAATTAACAATCACCTTAAATATTCATTATTTTTCATGATGAGAACATTTGAAATTTAGTAATTTTGAAATGTACTATTACTATTGTTAACTACACACAGGCACCAGCACATGCATGTGCACACATACATATTTTTGTATTAGGGGTTGAACTCAGGGAGTGCTTTTTAAAGTTTTTATATTGAGGCAGGGTCACTAAGTTGCCCATGCTGGTCTTTCTGCTTCAGCCTCTCAAGTAGTGGGGATTATAGGTATGCACCACCACGCTCAGCTGTTACTCCTTCTGTTTGAGACTTTGTACCCCTTGACCATTATCTCCCCAGCCCCCGAGAACCCAGCCTCTATAACCACCATTCTACTCTCTGCATTGATGAGTTTATCTTAGAGTCCACATATAAATGAGAAAACATGCCATTTGTCCTTCTATTTTGCTTAGCATAGTGTTCTACAATTCTATCCATGCTACAAATTAAAAACCTCCTTTTTAAAGGCTATATTCCATTGTATGTGTATACTGTACACCAAATTTGCTTTCTTTGTCTGTTGAGAGATAACTTAGGTCAGTTCCATAATTTGGCCATTCTGAATAATTTGGCTCCAGTGAACATGGGAGTGCAGACATCTCTTTGACAAACTGATTTCAAATCTTCTGGGTACATAACCAGAAATGGGATTTCTAGGTTTCTATTTTTATTTCCATTTTTAGTGTTTTAAGGTCCCTGCATGCAGGATTGCATAATTGCTGTACATTGCTGTACTAATTTACATTCCCTCCAACTGTATACCAGGGTTCCCTTTTTTCTCCACATCCTTCCTAACACTTACTTTCATTTTTAGACAAGTCGTTCTAGTAGGTATGAAATGATATCTGATTGTAATTTTAATTTGTATTTACCTAATAACAGTGTTGAGCATTTTTTATAAATCTGTTGGCCATTTGTATGTTTTCCTTTGAGAAATGTCTATTTAGGACTCTTGCCCTCTTTTTGTTTTTGGTACCAGGGATTGAACTCAGGACCTTGTGCTTGAGAGACAGGCGTGGTGCCACTGAGCTAAATCCTTGGCCCCTCTTGCCCATTTTTTTTTTTTTGGTAGCAGGTATTGAGCTTGGGAACTTGTGCTTGCAAGGCAGGCTCCGGAACCACTGAGCTAAATCCCCGGCTCCCCATTTTTTTTAATGGTGGTGGCAGTGGTTTTGCTATTGAGGTTGGTTTTTTGTTTTTTTTTAAGAGGGGCTCTCACTATGTGGTTCAGGCTGACCTTGAACTCTCACGATGATCCTCCTACCTCAGCCTCCAAAGTGCTGGGATTACAGGCATGCACCAGCATGCTCGGTCCTTTGGACATTTCTTATAAGTGGAATTATATGATACAAATGTTTGACTGGCTTCTTTGACTTAGTATGTTTTCAAAGTTCATCCATGTCATAGCATTTCTTTTTACGACCAAATAACATTCTGTTGTGTGGATATATCAGATTTGATAGACATTTTGATTTTTTCAGTTTGGGGCAATTGTGAATAATGCTGCCATGAACCTCTGTATATAACTTTTTGTGTGGACATGTTTCTTTTTTTTTGGCCAGGGAGTGAAATTGCTGCATCATATTTGATTGCTCTGTTTAACATTTTAAAGAGCTTTCATATTGTTCTCTAAAGGAAGCAACTCTCATCTCTGCCGAGCACTGGAACAGGTGCACGTACACACACAGGTCCCCCATCAAATGTGTGATTTATACATATTTCCTCCCATTCATGCAGGTTTTCACCCTTACAATTTGATAGTATTGTTTGCAGCACAAAAAGTGTAAATTTTGGGGCTGGGGATTTAGTTCAGTGGTTTTGCTGCCTGTTGTGCAAGCACAAGGACCCGAGTTCGATCCCTGGTCCCCCAAAAAACAATTTTAAATTTTGATGAATTCTGATTTATATTTTTTTTGTCACTCTGGTTTTTTTTTTTTTTTTTTTTGGTACCGGGGATCGAACTCAGGTCCTTGCGCTTGGGAGGCAGTCGCCAGAACCACTGAGCTAAATCCTTGGCCCTGTCACTCTGGTTTTAATGTCATAGCTAAGAAACCACACTGCCCAATCCAAGATCATTAAAACTATTGAGGCCAGGGATTTATCTCAGTGGTTCCAGTGTCTGCCTCGAGAGCACAAGGTCCCAAGTTCGATCTCCCATACCAAAAAAAAAACTATTGAATACTGTCTTCTTAGGGTTTTACAGTTTTAGTTACAACATTTAGGTTTCTCATTCCTTTCGAGCTTAATTTTTATTTATTTATTTATTTTTTGGTACCAGCGATTGAACTTGGGACCTTGCTCTTGCAAGGCAGGCGCCAGAACCACTGAGCTAAGTCCCCGCCCCGAGCTTAATTTTTATTGATAGAAATTTGAATGATGTAAAATACTCTCTCACTCTTGTCCTTGGGCTGAATATCCTGTTTTTACTCTTTATTACCCAGAGGATGGTGCAGCAAGAGGGTGACTTCTATCAAGTGAGGTTTTCATAGAGAGGGAAGTCAAAAGCGGGAATAAAGTACTACGTATATTGCCAAGTGAGATTACTATCAGATCCCCAGTAGCCTATCTCCCACTGTAAACTTGAGCAAGAATTTTAATCTTGTCTATTTCAGAATGCTTTAGAATAATACGCGTGTCAGGGGCTTTCACAGAACCCAGCTCTGTATGTTATGTTAACTGTAACTGGAGGACGTTTCTGATGGGCTGACTGGTTTTCTTCTCAGGGGTCTCTCTGTTTGGTGTGTCAGCCCTGTTGCTCCCTGGGAACTTGGAGTCTTACTTGGAATTTGTGAAGTCTTTGTGTCTGGGACCAGCACTGATCTACACAGCTAAGTTTGTGCTTGTCTTCCCACTCATGTATCACACCTGGAATGGGATCCGTCACTTGGTAAGTTAATTGTGAATTTGCATATTTTTCAAGTGGAAGAGCTGGTCATATATTGTGGTTTATTCCTATAATCTCAGCATTTAGGAGGCGGAGGCAGTGTAACAGTGTAATCTGTGTTGGGATCACAAACAGTCACAGACTGAATTCAAGGACAAAGGAGGTAGATAGGAGGGATGTTTATTAAGAAGAGAAAAATAGCTCCCAATAGCCAGGATGGGACCCCAAGGGGACTTTGTCAAGGAGTTTTTATATGAAAAGACGACCAGAGCCTCACACCACTCTGAGTGAAACTAAGGTCAAGCTATTAGACTAAAACGAGCTTGCTTAAACTAGAAATGAGCTGGGTGTGGTGGCACGTGCCTGAAGTTCCAGCACTTCAGAGGTTGAGGCAGGAGGATTGCCACAAGGCCAGCCTGGGCAACATAGTGAGACCCTGTCTCAAAAATCTAGAATGTGGCTCAGTGGTTCTGCTACCTGCCTCCCAAGAGCAAGGACCCGAGTTCCCCGGTACCAAAAAACAAAACAAACAAACAAACAAAAATCTAGAATGTGCCTATGAGGAGTCGAGGCATGTAGCAAATGTATGTTTGCAGGTGCCTCTTGGTCACTATCTTATATAAATGGTTTATTAAAGAACAAAGTGAAAAGGAAAAACCATTTTCCAGATAGGAGCAGAAGTTGTCACAGTGGTCACCCATCACCTTGCTTATTAGCTCACTTGTTACATCCCTGGACTTAATTGTCCCCCTGGTTCTTCTTAACTCTTGACCTCAGGCACCTACCTGCCTGACAAAGGCCTGGTCATCCTGACTCTACCTTGAGCCCAGTGCTTCTTTAGCTGCCTGCTGTCTTTTACCTAACTTGTCTGTCAATACTAGCAAGACGATCACTGCTCTTCAAGGCTAGCCTGGGCTACATAGTGAGTTCAAGACCAGACTGGGCTACATAGCAAGACCCTCTCTCTCTCTCTCTCTCTCTCACAAACAAACAAACACACACACACACATAAACAAACAAAACAAAAAATAATTCTCGGTGAAGAGAGGACAAAGGCTGGGAGGATTCCCTTTTCCCCTCTTTTCCTCCTCCTCATCCCTTTGTTTGGGGGGGGTGCAAGGTGAGGATTGAACCCAGGCCTCAAAAATGCTGATTAAGCACATGCTGTACCACTTAGCTATCCCCCGTCCATACCTAGTGTTATTCATAAGGTCAGTTGTGCTGAACCTTTATTCAAGGTCATTTTAGGGAAAGCTAAACAAGATCCTTTTTACCTTCCTTAATGGGCCTAGGCCAAGCAGATATTTATACTCTCATTAAGAACTTTTCCAGTCTGAAGAGGGATGTTATTAAAAGCAATCACTGAAACTAGGTCATATGTCTGGCATAAAAGGCATATTTATTAGGTTAATATGAATTAGTACCTTTTATGTGTCAAGCACTGTTCTAGACACTGGAGAGTCAATTTTGAGCTCCATACACACATCTACTGCTTTCAATCTAACATTTCTATCAACTCAGAGTAACAAGTCTTCCTGGACTCAAATATATTAACTTTTGTTATCTTAATATTAGATTTTGTTAACCATTTCTGTTCCTTTTGAGTGATTAGCGAAAACAGGGCCAACTTTAACAGAGACCAGGTACCAGTGATCCCAAGTTTTAATCTTGGGTCTAGGAGTCTTGTAGTGGACAGAAAGCTGTTGGTGTTGGCTCCTGTGTGACTTTGGTGTCAGTTCATAACTGACATCTCTGTGTCTCTTAATCAAACCAGTCCCAGGTTAAAGATCAATCTGTCATTCAGCACTTTAAGAGTTCATAATCCCCAGTACCAAAAAAACCACAAAAAACACATAAATTTGTAGTCTCCCCACCCCTAGTCTTATTCCTTCCCCAAGAAGACAATTAAAATTTTATTCCTACTAGTTTTCTGTTACTTCTGATTCTGAGCCATCTGTCAGATGGATGTTTTTGCTTTAATTTGATAGTTTATAACTTCTGCATCACAGCCTTAGGGACAGGCACTTTCTGGATTTCAGTCTGGTCCAGTAGAAACTTAATGAAATAAAAAAACTGAGCGTCTAAATGACCTATTAAATTAAATTAAGTGTATCTATCAATTGTTCCCTGAGGTGGTGTTTGGTTTGATTTAAAAGGACTTCTCACTTCCCTGGGGGAAGAGAATGGGGAGGGAGGGCATTTCCATAAATGACTTTTTATTCCACAGAACAAAGCTCTCCAAAGAAAATCAGCTGATCAGCTTCCTCTGTTCACATCCTAGCTCAGGCGCAGATTTGCCATATGTTTGCTTTTGTCTCTGTATAGGGGGAGTAAAGGGAGAGAGGTTTTATAAAATCTCAGGCCTCAGTCTGTACTTTATTGCCCCAGTTTCTGTTTATGATGGTAACCTCTTTCTTGAGATAAGTGAGGATACGAGTGAGGATAAGTGAGGATAAGTCTTCTAACAAGGACTGGCTCTGGGTATGGGTCAGACTTTAACTGTTTCCTGGGAAAGTCTGGTTTTGGCCTCTGAGTTTGGAAGTCGCCTTGCCAGCAGAGCTAATGGGGGCTGGAGAGTAGAATTGATGTAAGAGTGGGTGCGTTCTAGAAACTTTTCTCCCTGCCTCCTCTACTCAGCGGGAGTCAGTTTGGTGTGGAATATGCTTGACTCTGGATCTGATCTAGTGATCGAGGTGAGGACAGCTTCTCACCTTGTGTCCCCCCCCCCCCAGCTTTTCTCTAAAGTGACTCCTAGGCCAGTCAGTTTTGTATGCAGAGTACTGTACAGGCTGTATGTGTGTTGAGGCAGCTGTGTGTGGAAAATGTGGAACCTTGGGCCGGGGATTTAGCTCAGTGGTTTCGCCGCCTGCTTCGCAGGCGCAAGGACCCAAGTTAGATCCCTGGTACCAAAAAAGAAAGAAAATGTGGAACCTGAAGGCTTTACTTTTGCCCTAGGGGTTCTTTTAGTGATGTAGAGTATACAGTGGTAACTTGGTTCATGAACTAATTTGTTCCATGATTCTGAAAAATATGACCATGCTCATGTTCATGCAGGAAAGATGGCTGTAGTTGTGTTTGTTACAGGATGCAGAGTTCTCAAACAAAAAAATTTGCCAAACACTGTTTTATGAAAACCAAATTCTTTGCAAACAAAAGCATTCATGAACTAGGGTACCACTATAATGTATTAATATCGCCAGAGCACAAGGGAGTCTAGATTAGTGGGTTTTGACAATATGGGTAGAAACCCACTTTAGTGGGTTTCTACCAACAAAAAAGAAATGTAAGTAGAATAGAAAATTCAGAATGCAGCACACATTAGTAGTGGTAAATATTGTTTATTGTTTCATGAATTTTTGCTACATTATATATATACATCTCTACAGGGTTCCAGTTTAAATGGTATTTCTTAGTCGGGTCATTGTCAAAACAAAATTGAGAAATAGTGTTCTATAAATGTATTCTCTCTAAAAAGGAATTCCGTGAGTGACTGTATCATGAATATTACATCCCCTTTTGGAGATTGGCAATGTACTTTCCTAAATTGTTTGAGAGTCTGGCAGTTAAATTCTTGCCAAATTTATAAGAGCACAAAACTTTTCCCCCTATGATGCCTTACAGCATTATACAAAACCAAGTCTTGGGGAAACATGCTTTGGGCAAACATTGACCTAGATGTGTTGTACATAGAGTTTGGTATTCTAGAAAGTACTACACCCACACAGTAAGACTAGATTTTCTGTCACTGGCACGCTGGGTTTTACTACACTTGATCTTAGCCAAAAGGCCGAGAAGTGATGGCATGCTGGGTTTTGAGAAGAGTGAAGGTAAGACTTAAGGATATGAGTGCTTTTCTCTAGACTCATGCATACAGGGGGAGCTAGTTCAAATAGGTAGAGAAATTCTTTCTAAGACAGGAGCTGCGAGAGTGACCAGGGTCCTACTTACTGAAGTTTGGTTTTTTTCTTTGTCTACAGATGTGGGACCTAGGAAAAGGCCTGAAGACTGCCCAGCTCTACCAGTCGGGGGTGGCTATCTTGGTTCTTACTGTGTTGTCCTCTGCAGGACTGGCAGCCATGTGAAGAGCTGAAGTTCCCAGCATCATCTTCCTACAGATTGATTGTCACAAACTGCTTTACCTTCCTGTTCATCACTCTTATCTCCAGCCAACAAAGTTATCTGATCTTTCTATCCTTCTATGTTTGCAGATGCCCCTGGAGCTCAATAGACTGGTTAATAAAACCACAGTAATAGAAAAGTTTTTCCCTTGTTTCTTACGATGGAATGGCTGTAAAAACACCCTTTTCTTGCCCACAGCTTGCAGCCTACTCTGGGCCTCGAAGCTCTTATTTTCTCTCTACATTGGGCTTTGATTTGTGCTGAGGGTCAGCTTTTGGCTCCTTCTTCCTGAGATAGTGGAAACAATGCCAGCTCTGTGGCTTCTGCCATGGGGCCTGGGGGTGGGGCTCTGGGTGCCTCTGCCTGTGGGTTGCTGGCTTAAAGGACAGTTCTGTTCATTGGTCAGAGCCCAGGGTCTGTAGCTCCCACACAGTGTGACTAGAAGAAGGGAGGTGGGGATGGAAGGGATTATCCTGGCCCATCTAGAGGGAGATAAAAAAGATGGGTTGGTTCTTAGAGCAGGGGCCCTAGGAAGAAGATACATGGCTTTTTTTTTTTTTTTTTTGGATACATGGCTTTTGATGGAAGAGGAAGATTGAAAAAGTTAGCATTAACTATTTTAAGGTGTTTATGTCTCTGGTTGGTTTTTGTTTTGTTTTTGCATCTATAGAAGGAAAACCCTTTTAATGTCATGTTCATGTTCCATCTTTTCTGAAATAATTAAAATACTCATTTTATCTTTGACTCTCCTTTAAATCTAGAGAAATCAAAAGGATGGTTCAGGTGCTCAAACACCCCCACCTCTCCCCATGACCTTTCCTGGGAGGGAAGCAGTTTGTCCTACAACTGACCCATTGGAAAAATGTTGAGAGAATCAGATACAGGTTGCCAGAGATTTAAATATCATGGAGAAGCCTCAGAAAAGGCAAGATGAAGAGAAAGTTGAGTATGTAGAGAGCTTTTAGGTTATGACAGACCCCAAAGTCCCACTGAGAATTGATTATATGCCCCCTGGTATAGTTCAGCAAATTATCTAGAGAGGGACATAGGGCCAGTGGAGGTAACAGCAAAGGATGGTGACCTAAGGTTATAGATATGGGGAGAGAAGGATTATGGAAATCATATCAAAAAGTTATAATGGGCCGGGTACAGTGGTACATGCTTGTAATCCCAGCATTTTGAAGCCTGAGGCAGGAAGATGGCTGCAAGTTCGAGGCCAGCCTGGGCTACATAGTGAGTTCAAGGTCAGCCTGAACTACACAGCGAGACCCTGTCTCAAAACAAGCAAAAAAAAAATAAGTTATAATGGGAAAACTTGCTGCTTTTTTAATCCATATAGGTCAGGCTTTTGGATCCCTCAATCCCTTGGCAGGGGCACTGTCTTGATAATCTTTGCAAACTCTGTGAAGAGATCTATGTCCTTCTGAGGTATTGGCCAACTAGTTAACTATGGCTTGGAGAGAATGACTGTGGCATTAGCTGTTTTCAGTTGGGCAAGAAGACCTTGCTTAGGTAAGACAGTGGGATCTGCTGCCTTCCCAGTCTATCCCACAGATATGGTCCTTATTGCTAGACGGGTCCTCAGAAGTCTGGTGATCTCCCTCCAGCTTATCCTACTCTCCGCTACTTTGTCCTCTGAGTGAGGGACAAGTGTTCACAAGGGAACTCTTTGGCATTAGAACTGGGGAAACATTTGTCAGGGGCCGGTAAGATGCAGAATGGGGTCAATGATAAACATATTTGGGAAGGTGCAAAATAGGGGACATTTTGACTTTTTTTGGTGGCTTTTTACCATTCCATTGACTGAAGGAGGAAGGGGGTAGATAGCAGAGTGTAGTGTTTTTCTGCCCTAAATTTCTACTTACCACTTTACTTTTCTTCTGTGTCTTCTATTCACTCCATAGCTTCAGTTTTCAAAGCATATGTACTTTTGCTTAGATGTAAAGTGTTAAATAGACAAGGATACCATCTTCTGGCTTTGATGTGCTGGGGTTGGGGGGGGGTACTGGAGTTCAAACCCAGGACCTCACACATTCTAGACAAGTGCTGTACCATAGAACTACATTCCCAGCTCCTGCATCCCTTTTTTTTTTTTTTGGTACCAGGACTCGAACTTGGGTCCTTGCGCTTGTGCAGCAGGCAGTAAAACCACTGAGCTAAATCCCTGGCCCTCCCTTTTCTTCTACTATCTCTGAACACACACACTTTTCCTAAACAGTTTTAATTTTGAAGTTGTTAACTGTGCATACTCAGGATGAAAAACGAAAGGGTAAGAAAAAGGACTAATTCTTTAAGGTTGTGCCCTTTTACTGTGATCAGACCAGTTTTCTCTTGGTCATTTCTGGAGTATAACTGACTCAATCCTTGTTAAAATTTGTTACACTGGGCCTGGGATTTAGCTCAGTGGTTTCTCCGCCTGCTGCGCAAGTGCAAGGACCCGAGTTCGATCCCTGGTACCAAAAAAAAAAAAAAATGTGTTACACCTCAGGCTGGGGATTTAGCTCAGTGGTGCTGCCGCCTGCCTCACAAGCGCAAGATCCCAAGTTCGATTCCTGGTACAAAAAAGTGTTACACCTCAACCACTGTAGTGTTATTTTCCGTACTCTATTTCCCCCAACCCTCCTAATTGATTTGTGAGAGGCAGCCATAGCAGGAGAAAATCCACATCAGGAAGATTCAACAATGTTTGTTGTCCAAATTTGCCTTTATTCACCCCATAATTTGTTTCACATTTCTGCCAAGGGATCATGTTTACTTCAGTTCAGACTGGACAGACTTTCTCAGTGTGGACCCTCGATCCCCTCTCAAGTTCCAGGTTTGCAGAATCAGCTGGATTAGGACCTGTGTCCAGGCACACAGGGCTTCCCAATGGGCTTTCAAAAGAGTTGCATGGGATTTGGGGGCCTGGAGTATGACCTGCAGAGGGGTGTGAACTTCGGGATTCATCTAGGGAATCAGGATTAGCAGTTGGGGAGCTTGGAATTATGGTTGGACACAGTGCTTGTTGTACCATCTTTGTGGTAGACTTCCTGAGTTTCTTCTGACTATCTGGATCATGGGGCTGTTAGGGATAGAGTGGAAGAGACATGTTTCTAGCCAGGTCCAGATGATTCCCAGTCCACCATATAATTAACTCCATCTTCCCATACCATGGGCAAAAGGACAGTTTTCAAATAAAAATAGTTAAATTTGATTCTCCTAACCTTCCCTGAGATTAGATTATTTTCTGTGATGGGGGAAGGGAAATAAAACGTCCTTAGTTCATCCCTTCAGGCCTTGGAAAGTGATTAGGGATTAGATAGGAAAAAATGGATTTGGGCAGATGTTCTCCCTGTTGGGGGAGAGGCATGACATGAGACATTTTTTTGAATTTGAAAGGAAATGGAGACAATAGGGTTTGAGTTTAGATGAGAATAGATACCTTGCCTAAGATTTCAGTGCGCAGCCCATTAGAGGCCTTGAGTAAATCAGGATTTTTCTGTATCCACTTGGTAATTGAGGCACCACCAGCAGTTGTCCGGGCAGTCAAGGTCACCCGAGCAGGGGGTATCTTCAGAGGCATTTGCCAGGTGCCCATGAAGGAACCCCAAGGACTTGCCTGAAAGGAAAAGGGATTCCTCAGAGGGGCTTCTCACTGCAGTAACTGTCCCATTGGCAGGACTTCAGTTCATCTTACTGCCATTCTTAAACCTTTAGGAATACACGGTAATAAAACAAGGTGAAACTACAATCTCCCTCACTCCTCTCCTCCATTTAGGTTATCCTGATTTTATAGCCCCTTCCCTCAGCCAATTTATCATACTAGGGATTGAACCCAAGTTTTTTTTTTCCCACCCAGTACTGGGGATTGAACTCAGGACCTTGCACTTGCGAGGCAGGTGGCACCACTGAGCTAAATCCCTGGCCAGCCAATTTAAATTCTACATTTTAAGGCCAACTGTGGCAAAAGAGCCCCCCACTGCACAGGCATCATCACCTGAAGACATTCTTTATGCAATCATTCATCAGTTTAAGGACTTGTGTGTGCTAAGCACAACTCTGCCCTATTGGATAAACTGGCTGGAACTTGGGGCACTTACCTTACCGTGTGAATTAGACTGAACTTTAATTTTCTAGGTTAGTGCCTCAGTTCTTTACCCTTTTTGATGGGAGTAGAGACGGATATCTCACCTTGGAATGGGGCACAGAAGGCAACAGATGACCACGATCATTGGCGATAATCTGAGTGTAGCCTTCATGGGAAGAGATGCTCTGGGTGGAGGTAGGGGAGAGAAATGCTTGTGGGTGAAAAGAGGAAGACAACAGCAACAACAAAAAGGGAGGAAGTATCTGAGGGCCTTGAATTAAGGGAAGGGGGGAGGAGAAGATGGACACTTAAAGCTAAAAGGAGATAGGTGGTAGGGAATTACAAAGAACATGATGTAAAGAACCATAAACTGGCCTTGTAGGGGTGCTGAATTTGGAATACCTCTTTTATTGGCTTGGCAGGAGACCAGTTCTGCAGATACTTGGGTGAGAAAGCTTTTTCATACTGTGGAGAGAAAGATGAGGAGCACTGTGAGGCCCAAAGGCCCCAGCCCAGGGAGTGATGTGGCACAGTTCCTTAGACTTGAAAACCAAAGGCCCAAACTCTGTCGACACTAACTTACTCTACCGGGGGTCCAGTCTGGCTCAGATGTATGCTGTCCCACAAGCAGCCAGTAGCCACATGTAGCTGTTGAGCATATGAAATGAAATGTGCCTACTCCAAACTGAGGGGCTTGGTTGGTATAATACACTGGATTTTGAAGACTTAGAACAAAAAAAAGAGGATGTAATATTTGAGATTATCATGTAAAAAAATACTGATTAAGAGTTGAAATGTTGGCTGAGGATTTAGCTCAGTGGTTCCGCTGCCTGCCTCGCAAGCGAAAGGTCCCAAGTTTGATCCCTGGTACAAAAAAAAAGAAAAAGTTGCAATGTTTTGCATTTATTGGGTTAAATATATTGAGCTGGGCATGGTGGCGCATGTATGTAATCTCAGCACTTGGGAGGCTGAGCCAGAAGGACATGAGTAAAGGAAGCCAGTCTGGACTACATAGCAGGTTCAAGGCCATACTAAATTACATCTGATAACTGTCTCAAAAAAAATTTTTTTTTTTTTGTACTAGGAATCAAACTTGGGGCCTTGTGCTTGCCAGGCAGGCACTGCACCTCTAAGCTATACCCCCCCCCCATTTTATTTTTATAAAATGGTACACTAACTTTTAATTTTAATTAATCAAAATAACTTCTCACCCTAAAGAATTCCATTCTTCTCAGTATAACAAAAAAAGTTGTGCTCAGTAATAAATTTTAACAGTTTTATGGAAAAATATTTTCTCTCATGTAAGTATCTACAGAATATCTTTGAGCTTTCTAGTTGACCTGCAAGGCCTAAAATACTTATTCTCTGGCTTGTTACAGAAAAGAATTGCTGACCTCTGGTTTGTAACCTACAAATTTAACCCAGAGATGCCTTTTGCTTGTTTCTGGGGCCTCCCAACTTTATACTATCTCCCAGTGTTCTCAGAGTCTCTCCAGTGATCACAGTTTGATGGGAAGGGTCAGTCCAAAGACAGATAGAATCTGGAAGGCACGATCAAATGTTAAAGGAATATGTTAGAGAAGAGAAGAAAGAGAACTTACCTGGTGGGCACTGTAGTTAGTGGCCATGATTCTGTGCTGTTTACACTTGTTGCCTGGCAACGGCAGAAGGCGGACCTTCTGGGTCTACCTTCCAATCAGGAGTAGGCTCGCTATTTCTTCCCTGGGTCACACAGCTTCCATCCTTTCTCTATGAGACTCAGGCGTCTTCTCATTTTAGAGATGTGAGGGATTGAGTAAACATGAGAAAATTAGCTGAATAGCACCGTTCTCTCTTTTTTCTAGCATAACTTACTTTTGTTTCAAACTCCCAAGTTGTCCTTGACTCGTATCTTTAACCACTTTGACAATCGCAAGCGCCATGTTCATTGGGCAGTGTGTCCTAATGTACCACAGACTGGAGAACCAGAAACAAAAGTTCTTGTTCATTCAACATGGGGACATAGAGCTATACGGCCTTAAACAACTGGTTTCACTTGAGTTCATCTGACTCATTTGTACTGTGGAAATAAAGAGCTTGCTTTTACAGGGTAAGTGAGATAAAGTGAGTAAAGTGTCTAGACAATGTCATAGCATAGCAGTTTAACACCAGTGTGGTAGTTATGAGAGGGTATAACTTGATTGGCTTTGGGATCCACCCTGGGGGATTGGTGCAGCACAAGGCATGGCCTGGGGTGTCACCTAGGTCTGGTCCCTTGTGCTTTCCTCTGTCTTGTCCCTCCCCTTTCCTTTCCTGTTCCCTTGCTCTGCTTTGGAGCTGTCATGAGCTGAGCTCCACCATGATGTTTCTGCCTTGAAGCCAGCTGCCCATGGGCTGAATCCTCCCAAAACATGAGCTAAATTAAACCTCTCTTCAGGGCCCGGGATTTAGCTCAGTGGTTCTGGCTCCTGCTTCACAAGTGCAAGGTCTCGAATTCAATCCCTGGTACCAAAAAAAACCCTCTTCATTTAAGTTTGGGTGTTCAGTATCATGCTTCAGAGAGTGGGAAGCTAATACAACTGGTAAAATACTGTTTATAGGTCCCAATATTTTATTTTCTCAGAGTAACAAGGAATAATATCTAAAAAGTGATTCAAATTTGTTCCCAGGAGGAAAAATATATCCTATCCTCGATCCTTAAATGATTCCTCTCTCCTCCATCACTTTCTAGAATCACAGAGCCTAGAAACAGTGTTGGCTGGTAAGGTGGAATGAGGAGCTGGCACAGGGAGACCCATCTCCCTGTGAGGATGGCGAGATAAGCTAAGTGAAAAGCAGCACATTTAGAGAGTTACATGGATGTCCCAGGACCCAAGCCAAATATCAGTAAGACTAATCAATCTCTCTGTGATTCATCTAAAGTATTATAATGTCTATTTACTGAGGCAGTAAGGAGAATTAACAAGGAAGTAGAACTGCTTTGTCAGTTGTCCGTATTGTAAGATGTCAAAATGGAAGGAAAACACCAAGAAATAAGGTTGTAGCTGGGCAGGTGGTGCCCAGCTCTCTGGGAGACTAAGGCAGGAGGACCACAAGTTTAAGCCCAGCTTGGGCAACTTATCAGAAGGAAAGAAAAAGAAAGGAAGGAAAAGAAAAGAAAACAGAAAGGGAAGGAAAGGAAAGGAAAGGAGAAGAGCAGAGAGGGAGGATAGAAGGAAGGAAAAAAAGAGGAAGGAAGGCAGGCAGAGGCAGGCCTGGAGATGTAGCTCAGCATGAAGGCTTGGGGTTCAGTCCCCAGTACCACAAAAAAAAAAAATTGGGAGAAATAGATAATTGAGCCTAGGAGATAGCTGGGACAACAGGTGTGCACTACCACACCTGGCTTTAAACTAAGAGTTTTTTTGGGGGGGGGGTACTGAGAATCAATAACCTCCTAATAAAATGTATTAGTCACTTTCCTGTGGCTGCAACAAAATACCTGACACCTGTAACTTAAAGAAAGATTTATTTTGGCTCACAGTTTCAGTGTGTTCAGTCCACGGCTGATTGGCAGAACTACACGGCACGGAAAGCTATTCACCATATGGCAGCCAGGAAGCAGAGAGAAAAGGGAGGAGCCAGGGACAAGAGCACGGCCGGGTCGCACCACCTCTAGTCAGACCCCACTCCTACGGGAACAGCATGTTTAGGGCCCCCATGACCCAATTACCCTTCACACCATGAGTCTTTGGGGGCCGTTTTAGATCCTGACCATAAAAAAATGTTTTGAATTTTAGCCTTTCTTCAAATGAAGTGGTTGATTTCAGGTGACTAGGATCAGATTTAATTCTTCCAACAGAAGGGCTCATAAAGGTCCCATCCTGAGGACTGGGAATTTAGCTCAGTGGTTCTGGTGCCTGCCTCAAAAATGCAAGTTCCCGAGTTTGATCCCCAGTATGCCGCCCCCCCCCAAAAAAAGGTCCTATCGCCAAAATAAGCCTTGATATGTTTTCATCACTTCTGATGCCTGAAGGTAGACCACTAGGAAATTTTTTGTGTAGGCTGAGATTACCCCCATGGAAGCACATGCTATAGTCCACTCTATAGGCCGTGTATCAACTGGACCTAAGGGAAGCAACCACAGCACAAATCCTGGAGTCAAATTGCCTAGGAAATGCTGGCTCTACCTTAAGAGTGAGAACTTGAACAAATTAATTTCTCTGGGCCCTTATATGTGAAACAAGGATAATCTTTTTGAGCTTTAAATATATACAACACACCCAGTATGGTGCCTGATGTATTATGAGAGCTCAATAATTTTAGCATTATTATTGGCCTGAGACTGGTAAGAAAACCTGTTCAGTCTCCCTGAAGGGGAGCATTATAAAGTTATGGGAGGACTTAACATTCCAAAAGTAAGATGGTGAGGACCTCGGCTGAGTGGAGCCCCGCTCCGTCTCTGCCCGGCTCCCTGGCAACCAGCTGGTGGATGGTGAGGACCTCGGCCATGGAGCCCCCACCCCCATCCCCGTGATCCACCCCCCAGCCATCAGCTTAGCCGCGAGGGCGCCTGCAGGGCACTCCACACACACACACCTCTGGCCTCCTGGCTGTGCCCCTACCTGGTTCCACACTACAGAGGCCCAGGGGGCTCATAAAGGCCATTGTCCTGGGCTCCAGAAGATAGAACAGAAGTGAACAACAGAAAGAGGGCTTCTCTCAGGCTCCTTGATGATAACTGAAGCCCACTGGAAAAGTGAAGAGAATCTCGGCAAGAAAGGCACATCAGACCACCGTACTTGGTAAGTTGGAAGGATCATCACCTCCCATCAGAACCCGGACTATCTTCAGGGGAAGGGCAGCTGGAACCTGCAGTAGAACCCTGCAGAGGTCAACCCTGCAGGAGGACAGGGAGCTCAGCTTGGGACTTGCAGCCAGAAATCTGCCTGAATCTGACAGGTCTGTAACTGGCTTACTGAGACTCATTGACTTGTAACTGCACACTGCTGCCCATGTTATCTATTGTGATGGCAGAGACATACCCTGAAGGAGGCCCTTCATTTTTATTTGTTATTTTCAAAATATTTTTTGCTCTTGTTAATTTTTAATTTTTTCCTACTCTTTTCAAATTTTTTTCTCTTCTTTTTTTTCCCTTTCTTTTCTCTTTTCTTTCTCTTGCTCCCTCACTCATTTTCTTGCTGTCCCACATTGTTTTTCATCTCCCTTTTTGTTTCTGTTCTGGCCCTAATTTGGATTTCTTCTTTATTTTTCTTTTCTTCTCTTGATTGTCATCAGCTTTAAAGGAAAGTAAATATAGTTTCTAGCCTCCCTATTGCTGTTAGGTTGTTCTGTTCTCATCTTTGTTCTTTCATTCTGTCTTTTCCTTTTGTCTTCAATAGCTTCTTAGAGTTTGCATGATCTTCCTGTTTCCTCTGGCCTCACTGCTAACCTTCCCCTATCTGTCTACCTAGCTATCCCTCCTTCCCCAACTCCTTCTAACTCCCCATCCCAAAGCATAAAGTTGCTATATTGAAGAGTTTATTCTCTATAAATATATGTTGGGCTGGTCCTTGATTATGATTTAATTCACACAGTTAAAGATGATAGATTAATAACTACCACAGATTTTCATTTTCTAAGCTATACTTGATGCTATGGTGCTGCTGATTGTATCACGTGGGCTAAGGTGTTGTGATTGATCTAATCAGTTATCCTTCCTGGTATAATGAAAATGAGATAGCCTCAGAGCCATTAGAGACTCAAAACCTAAAGACTAGCTGTATCTAGAAGATACCTCAGAGAAGCAATCATTCTATAAGGGTTCTAAATACAAGCAACAAAGATACTTACAATAAGCAATTTCGAAGTATCAACCCAGGAATTAAACCAAGGACAGTACCATAAACAAAAATGAGAAGACATTTAAGCAAGGCACAAACTCAGACTTCCACCCCTTCAAAGGCAAATTCTGGGGGAAACGAGGTAGAAAAGTCTGATAATCACCCACCTGGACACCCTGAAGTAATAGCACAGGAAGTAACAAAACAGATGAATGAGGCTCTAGAAAAATTCTAAACAGAAATAATCTCCCAGATAACTACAGAGATGGTGAGGAGCGTGAAAGACATGATTAGAGGCTCTAGAACAGAAACACATAAAAAAAGATAGATGAGTTCAGAAACATGCTGGAAGCCATGAATACCCAGCATAAGAAAGAAAGGGAAACCATGATCGGCCAACATAAGAAAGAAATGGAATCCATGAAACAGATTCAAACAGATATCCAGGAGATTAAAAACTCCATTGAAAGTATTCATAGCAGATTAAGCAAATGTGGAGATAGAATATCAGATATAGAAGATAGGATTGTGGTTAGTGACCCTGAAAACAGAAATTTCTTAAAAATAGTAAAGGACCACAAGAAATCAATCCAGCAGCTGCTAGATGATGCAAAGAAGAATAACATAAGACTGATAGGAGTCCATGAAAAACCAGGAGAAAGTACAATTGACATTTAAAAAACCTTCACAGAAGTAATAGTAGAAAACTTCCCAGACAGAGGTAGAGAATTGGACATACAGATAAGTGATTCACATAGAACTCCAACTAGCCATGATCAAAAAAAATCTACACCTTGGGCTGGGGATTTAGCTCAGTGGTTC